AATTGGCTGTTTCATTGTCATTGTAGATCTGGCCTACCACAATTGTCCTCTGCAAATTTTGCAGTTATATTGGAGCTGCATGTGGCTATGTAATCATAGTTGTAAAGAAAGTAAAGCATTGGACACAGGATGCAGTCTGCCTCTAATATGTGCACCTAATAGCTTACCTTTTTAATCTGCACAGACTTTGGTGTATTTACTGTGGGTGTTTTAGAGTACTCTTTCATCATTAACACTCTGGAACAGCAGGTGGCGATAGTATAACTTAGTGTTGAATGCGAGCAGCCAGTGCAAACAGACAGAAGAAGAAGTTTCATAAAGGGAAGTGCCGCAGGGTATCGTTCGGCTCTGTTCTGCAGTGCTGCGTATGTGACAACCCGTGTTTTTAATCAGCTAATCAGAAGAAACAGTCTTTATTGTGTTTTTTTAACTACATATACAACGATACAAAATGGCCACTGGTAAGTTCGCATGTTTGTGATCGTCTGTTCATTTATTTTGCTTGCTTTTTTTGTGTGTTTAATGAGAAATGGGTCAAATAGCATTGGAGCTAAGTTCGCTGCTAACCGCGAGGCCAGAAGAAAGGCTCCGTCTATTTCATGGACTATAACTCGTTTTTCATTAGCAGAGCCATATTGTCTTTATCGGAATATTTGGTTAACTGTATCTTCAATACCGAATTTATTTTGTGTTCACACTTTGTTGTAGACCTTTGTCGATAGTTGAGACTAAGTCAACTAAATTATCGCAGATCGAGCACGGCCTTGTCGCAGCTGACGTTAGCTAACGTAATTAGCCCCCGGTGTCTGCTAGTGACCATAAATCAGTCTTTGTTTATACCGATGTTAGTTCCTTATTTGGATCGAGCAACATCTTATTACCTGAACTAATGCAGTGTTGTGTCAAGGTGGTGGTTTTAAAGTAAATGCGAGTGGGCAGAATTTATAAGCCAACGGTTTTTAGTTTCGTTTACCTATTTGGACCGTTCAAGTAAGTTGACCGCCATTTTCACTGGGTTGGCGTGGTGACTGGCATGACCTGCTTCTACTGGTATCGTAACAGCATTATGAACTCCATAACGTTAGTCGCCTTTTCCCATTGATCAGAAACCACATTGTTGCTCTTTCGTTAAAGTATTGCTTTATTTTTATTTCAGATTCAGGCTACGGTCAGCATGGTGGCTCAGAAAGGTAATGTACAAACAAACCCGGATTACATTTAAAGCCGCTCATTAATTGTTGCTAGAACTGACTTGCACAAAACGCCCCAACCAAGGCGTAGAAATGTAAAATAAAGTATACAAAATAGTTTTCACTTACTTGAACAGCTTTACCTTTTGGGTAACTGGGTGATTGATTATATAGTTCCTGTTTGTTGTGTACCATTTGCCATTTCTTGTCATCTATCAGTTATGTGTACTGAAGCAAACTTTACTCTGCAGATAAAATATATGCTTTTTTTGTATGATTTCCAGGTGTGGTTATGTATTTTTAAATGGTACAAGTGTGCCAACCTTAATTGCCTCTATTTGCTATCCACCCCTGCCACTGTTGATCATGTTGACAGGCGAGCCAAACTAAATGGACCAGGTTCAAGTTTTTTTTTGTTTTGTTTTGTTTTTTTTAACCCATGCATGCAACCGTTTCTTTCTCCTCGTACATGATCTTCTCTCCCTTCATGCCCCCCTTACAGTTTAAACCTCACAAATGTAGCCTAGCATGTTGTAGGTAGAACAAAAAGTATCCCAGACCATAACAACTTAAAGAAAAGAAGCCCGGATGGGCTGACACTCATCCAGTCTGGCAACATTGAATTTAGCTACCCCACGTAACGCAGGGCTTTTGAATGGTCCACAAACCAGAGGCTAATGATTTATTATTTATTACTTAATTTTCCCCCAATGTGTCTGTAGCTATGGATCATATGGCGGTCAGCAAGGTGGACAGGTAAGGCCATTCCCTAAACTACAACCTGTTACGATTTCAAATCAGTTTTTTCTTATTTCGTTATAGCCTCTCTAAATGGCCTTTCTGCTTGACAGGGTTATGGACAAGGAAATGGCAGTGGCTCTTATGGGGGACAGAGTTATAGTGGCTATGGACAGCAAGGTGCATCACAAGGTACAGTATAGTATTATCAGGATACCAAAATTATGACTGTGATACAGTCCCTGCCTAAAATATTTCTTTGAGACTGTTATCTTCTTAATAGTCATTCACTACAGATAAAGTGGGGTTTTGAAACCTTTTTAAAGGCAGGATTTTGCAGTACCTTTCTAGTATCAGTATACCATGTAATCAACATGAGAAGGAAACTGTACATTACACTGATCAAATTTGTATTTATTTGCAAGTCCACCAATAACATCCTGTTTATCAGGCATACTTTTGCTTTGAGATGATCTGAAAGGGTCATTTGTTCAGCTAAAGGTTTGACATGGTAGACATTTGTATGAATGTAATCTGTAGTAATTTTAGATTTCTTGCTGACTCGCACCTCACCCTGCCATGCAAAGTCAGGAGAATTCAAGATGCTTTTCACTTTTGTCTGTTTGCTGTGATCATCCATCCATCATCTATGCCACTTATTCCTGAATAGGGTCGCAGGCAGGCCGCAGCCAATCCCAGCTGACTGTAGAATATAAAACAATTTAACCTTGGATTGTTTGTATTTTTCAGATAGTTACAGCCAGTCCCAGCCACAGAGCTATGATAGTTTCGGGCAAGATTCATCTGGGTAAGATGCTGCTATCGCATTATTTAACCTTGGCTTAATAACATAACATACAAGGCTTTGAGCATTCTTAAACAATGCAATGCATACTTTATACATATCAAATCCAGGTGTGGAATTTTTGTAGAAACTCAAATGGCAGATAGTCATGGAGACCAGCAAAACAATTATGCAATGTTAGACTGCTCCCCTTAAAGCTAGATTGTTTTAACTGTCAACTACTTGTCTTACTTGTCTCAGCCCACTGATACATTTAAATATCTGTTTCCCTGTTGTGCTAACTAATAATTTTGCTAAAAACACTTCAAGGTATGCCGACAAGTCATCGTCTTATGGACAACAGAGTTCTTATGGCCAGCATGGTTTCTATGGCAGCCAGGGACAAGGGGGGGACAGCTATGGACAGCAAAGCACCTATGGTGGCCAGGGGCAGGGCAGTGGATACGGTGGTCAGGGGCAAGGAGGTGGCAGCTATGGAAGATGGAGTGAAGGTATGAATAACTGAGCCTAAAATCAGTATGGATATGGAGACTAAATCTGTGTTCTGTAAGCGTCTACAAATGTGTTGTCTGATAAACCAGATCGTGCAGTCCTTAAATCTGTCTTTGTGTTAGGTGAAGGTGGTGGTCAGGGTGGGAGGTTTGGACGTGACCATGGTGATCGTTCAGAAGGAGGTGGCTACAGAGGCCGTGGTGGCTATGACCGTGGAGGTTATGACCGCGGTGGATTCGACCGTGGTGGAAGAGGTGGACCTCCTGGTATGGGGTAAGTTGCACAGTGCCACTGCCCCTAAGGTACCTCTTTACACTGAAGTAGAAGACTCATCATCACTCATCAACTACAAACCATCCACATACTCGTCTGCTTTGTGCTCCAGATCCCCAAAGTGGTTTATAAAGAGAAAAAGAATGAACACCTGATCCATAAAGTCACAGATCACATAGGTAACACTTGCCAATGGTCTGCATTAAGGTCTAGATACTTGAACCTCTTCACATTTTTTAAAAACCTGATTTCTATAATTTCTTGCATAAGAGATATGCTGGCATTAAATCTACACTGCTATTAAGATCAATCCATTGCACACAAGTGTTTAATTATCACGATCTAGAGATGAATTGTTTGACCCACTGAGGATCTACTCCTTTTTATTTGGGTCCTAAGTGAAGGAATGAAGACTAAACGTACCGGCCCGTATATAGAAGCTGTAAGGACACAAGGGCCCCTGTTGTGTGGCCATACTATTCCAGGTAGAGGTCTTCACAGGTCCAAAAAGTGGGACTCAATCCAAAGAACCAGAACCCATCGTGCACAAATTAATTTTCAAAAAACAAGAGATCGAACCTAAGGAGGACCCAAGCTCTGTCGAACCTAATCCAATCCAAAAAGCGGTCCACCAAAGGCCACACTGACGTGTAATAAGATCAAACAACAAGCAGGAGCTTAAGTTGCATCCTTGTCTGATTTGGATTATTTTAATTTTTAAGAATAAAATATCTGATCACGATGTCTGAATGATAGGCCTGCTTATGGCATGAGTTCATGTGATGATTAATTTGTTGTGATATAAGAACCACACATTTTTGATCTTAAAAACGTTCATTTATAGCTTGTCGTAACCTTGCTTAACAATTCTGTGCCACGATATTCACTTAACTGTGCTAGTTTTTTATCTTTGTTAAAAATCTGAGCAAAACTTTCCCAAACAGCTGACGTGCCAGTTGGTTTAACCTCCTTGTACTTGCTCTTAATTTGTTCATCGCTTTGGCAAAGAATGTCTCCATCCTCTCTTCCCTGTTGCCTTGTTTAACTTCCCCCATGGCGACCATGACACACCACATCATCAGCTAGATATTAACGCGCAGGCTTGGGTTTATTTGGATCCACTCAGGTCTTGAACATACTGGCATGCAGACCTGAAACCTGAGACAGTGAAACATGGGCCAACCAGAAAGAGCAAAGTTTGGCCCTGACCCAAATCTGGTCTTGGGTCCTCAGACCTGAGTGGACCTGTGAAGACCTCTCATCCCAGGTATTGGGGCCAGGTTGATCATTTTTTAGTCAGCCAAGAAGAGACCCCCCTCCCTTTTTTTCAGAGGCTATATTTAGTTGAAACACTAACACATTGTAAAAATAAATGATCTAAATAGGTGTTTGCTAGGAGAAAAGACATTAATATTGAAAGGTGCTTTCCTATGCATGGAAAAACACATGAACCCTCTAATGTTGGGCAATACAACCAAAATTTAAATAACTTTTCCTACCTCTCTCAATGTCAATGGATGAGTCACAATTTTTTTTTTTTGTCTACATGAACTTAGGACAAAAACAATAATTCAAATTTAATTTCCTTTACTAAAACTATTTGCGGTTCCCCCAGTGACTAGGGCCCTATGCAGTATCAACAAAAGAAAAACACTAACCAGACTGTTCTTTTACATATTGTAAAGAATAGACTAGGAGCGGCTGTGCAACAGTGACAAATGCAGCAATTGCAAGGCTGTCACTGTCCATTATTTCTTAAAAAAAAAATAAAATGTTTAAACAAAATAAAGCACCACTGGCGAGCAGTGACTGGAGAAACATCTCGAGCAGGTTAAAGAGCTACCTAAAAAAAAACTGCAAAAAGTTTATTGTGCTGACAGTTTTAGTTTTATTAAAGTTTTCATACGTTGTTCAACTTGACGTGTATACAATGGGCATGGTGTCACCACTTCCCTCCTCTATGCAAAAATGAAGCCAAAATACTGTGGATACAGCGGCTGCTACTTTTTATGCAACCAGATCCTGCATGGTAGTGATCAGAAGTGGAGCGATGGCATTGGACTGCCAGTCAAATCTGTCAACATCAAATGAAATGCGCCTCTTCTTTTATATCATTAAATAACTTATTAAAAATAAACTTACAACAAAAATGACCACTTGTACAAACATCACCGTGACGATATCTACCAAAATCCCCAGAAGTGACCTCTGGGGAAGAAAATTATTTGATTTGTACTTTGAGTTTTTAGCGTGGCTCATGTCCCATCCACTAACATGGAGGAGGCGGGACATATGACCTATGCTACAACCAGCCACCAGGGAGACCTCGACTTGTGGTGGCTTCGTTTCTGGAAGCCGTCAGCCTGTCCATTTTTACAGTCGATGGTTCTACACTGTACAGCAGCCTGTTCCACGTGGAACTTGGCAAGCCCAAACTGTTTTACTGAGGTAACATGACTACCTTTCTCTGGTATTGTTTTGTCATCTTTAGCTGCTGCAGCTGCCACAAGCTTGTTGACTGGCAAAGCTCACAAGCGCAAGTGTCTCCAAGGAAATGGCAGCAGCTTATGTTGCTGTTGTAACTTAGGACAGCTATTGGCTTTTGATTTTATAATGAAGGAAACGCTGATCCTGATTTTTTTAGTCTTTAGGCATTTTTCACATCATTCAGGGAAAAAAAAGAAAATCAGTGTGAAATATTGCCCAGGCCTAGAACCATCCCTTTGAGAAGAGAGTTCAGATAAGGGTGCCACTTGTTTCTGAGGAGAGAATAATACTGGTATTTTATTTTGGTGACTAACTTCAGTATGATCTGAAAGCGCCACATGTTGGTCCACTAGGTAACTCTGAAGCCAACTGGAAAACTGTTTTGTAGAGATTACTGGTTTTACATTATATGTGTGCTTAAGTGCATGACTTTTATTTCACATTTTGTAATGACATTGACCAAAACAAAGGGAGGAATTATTGTAGTGCTTTCATAATTTTTACTTAAAATTAACTCAAACGGCCACAAGTCTTCATTTGCCGGAAACGTTAAGTTTGGTGTGTTCTTGTGCTCCGAGGACCACAGTAGTTTTTCAGTTTTTGAACGATGGAAGCACCACTAAAATGAGCCCTTAGACCTGGAGCCACATCTTCAGCTGCTTCACATTCAACAGGTTTCATTCAAATGATGTATATTTGACAATGGTCGAACATGTGTGCTGTGTTAACATGGATCTACATTTTATACTACAGGTGTTCAGAGTGATTGAACTAAAACTTGGACCTCAGTTAAAGGATCTCATAAATGCACTCAGTGGAAATTGCTAATCAGTCGCTACACACCTTCACCCTAATTTGGCTTTTGATGTTTAAAACAAATTCTGCTGGTTGTCCACTTCCTGGCATCAAATTTAGTCATGTAAAAAGTATCAAATTCTCTGTAAATGGTGACCAAGTAACATGTGATAATTGTCTTCACTCGTCTGCCTGATTGTTCAGTCAGAGCTGCCTAGTCGTCTGTTCATTGATCTTTAATGTGAAAGACTAATGCATTCCTCGTGTGAGACGTTTCCACCATAGTCATACACCCTGGCAGGAGTGCATACTGATGGGGATGTAGGGGAGCTTTGAGCTCTCAGTTGGGACAAAGGAAAAGCCATCATATCTCCAATTTTTCCTCTGCAGAGGTGGTGACCGTGGTGGCTACAAAAATTACGGTGGTAAGTGACGAGCATCAGAACTGTGTCGGTGGGGGAGAAAAGAACTTGAGTTAGCAACAAACAGAAAAGGGGGATTAAAAAAAGTCAGTGAATGCCACCATTTTCATGTCCAGATCCCAAGGGACTCCACCAGTTAATGCTTAGCAGGATTTTTCATGAATGACTTCAGATATGGTATGGTGACATAAGAACATGGAGTCTGAGTTGTAACATAATGGTATATTTGCATGAAGACGAGGGCTGATTGTAAGTGACAGAAGTGCTCCCAGGACGAAGAAGGGAAAACTTAAAAAGTGGAGACATTTGGTGGCTTACATTTCTGGTGTAAGCTCATAAAAGAGGAAAAACAGTTGTTTTTGTTGCAAGGTATTGGTATCTGATGCAACGGTATGAAGACACCCATCAGACAGCTGTAAACATGGGCTTTGGTTAATTGTCTTTATCTTTATACATTGATAGGAATGAACCTAATACATATATATTTGTGTGAATCAGTACAGTTAAGATTTCTTGCTCAAGTGCGTCTTCCATCCTGTCGTCTGTTTTACAGGCTCTCAAGACTTCGGCTCAAGGGATGAACAAGGTGAGACCGTCTTCGTCAATCCCATCTCCAAAATCTGTCTGGTCACCACACGTCAATACCCGTATATGATTGGCGCTGACTTGTTCTCTCCTTTCATCTTGTCCACAGGTGGAGAGCAGGACAACTCTGACAACAACACCATTTTTGTACAGGGACTAGGAGAGGATGTCACAGTTCAGGAAGTTGGTGACTTCTTCAAACAAATTGGTATCATCAAGGTATGTATGATTGCATTTTTGTCACTAGTTTCTTTTCACTAGATAAGACTTACACAGTATCACACATCCTTATGAGTAGAGTGTAACTGCCACTATCCATCTTTTGAACCAGTCACTTATAAGTATAGTTGGTGTTCCTGGAAAGAACAGCAAGAGAAAGCTTGATTTTGAAAGACAGCTGAAGAGTTCTCACTCTTCTGATGTGCACTGGCTGACTGGCCACCACTTTTCAGCCCCTTTTGTTCTCTCAGTTGTTGCTGTTATTCAAAAGCCACACCAATGCTAATTCGGGTTTTACTACTTAAGCATCCAACTTTTTGTAACTTTCCTGAATATGGTCTCCGTTTGTGACCAAAAGCTGCTGTGGGTACCTGTTCACCATAGCTTTGCTTTGTTTTGCATTGCTTGTTAATACTGCTCATTTTGTTATATCACACAGCCTTATGTTGGTTTACTTGCCCCTTGTATGGGGATATGTACATGCACATTGAGAGCCGATGTACCAGAGTCAAATTCCTTGTGTGTCAGACACACCTGGCCAATAAAGCTGATTCTGATAGCTTGCTAGCTTGAGTTATAAAAACAGAGCAGTAGCATGTCAGCCTGCCTGGCCTTGTGGGAGACTCTTGACTCATGCAGTGAGTGCAAGGGCAGTGTGCGCTCATATAGGAAGCTAGATTGACAGGCAGGTCATTCGATGGTCTTGCTGAGTGAAATTACTGGTCAGGCTGTTTTCAGTGTGGTCAGGATGAAAAGAGGAATTCAATAAATGTAACACAAATGCTTCTGAAATGAATCGCCGGCCTCACCTTTAAAATACATTGTGAGTTAACATTCAATCTAAACAAAAGAAGTAAAAGTCTGACCCATCTTTGTGCTTTCAGGTGAACAAGAAGACTGGCCTGCCAATGATCAACATTTACTCTGACAAGGCCACTGGTCGGCCAAAGGGGGAAGCCACAGTGTCATTTGATGACCCACCCTCTGCCAAAGCTGCTATTGATTGGTTTGATGGTAAGAGCACTGGCATGTCCTTCATGTCCTCTGAGATTTTTGTCACCCTCGCTTAACATGTTTTGTCCTTCTAGGCAAGGAATTCAACGGCAAACCTATCAAGGTATCATTTGCCACCCGCAGAGCTGAGTTCACGCAGAGAGGGGGTGGAAGAGGGGGTGGAAGAGGAGGAGGAGGAGGAGGTGGGCATAGACCGAGCACAATCAACAGATGAAACTGATGACTTTAAATGGAAGCACTTGTATTGTCTTCATCAATTGTCTCCTGTTGTTTTTAGGTTTCAGAGGTCGTGGTGGTGGTGGTGGTGGAGGACCCAACTTTGATGTGAAGGGGGGAGACTGGCCTTGTCCCAACAGGTTTATTTATTTATATGGCTTTCATCTTTTTTTTTTTTTAAGATTACTATACAGCAGAAAGGGCTTATTTGGCCATGTTTGGAGTTTTTCTTATGTCTGCTATATGTCCACCTCATTTCTCTTTTCTCTTCAGCTCCTGTGGCAACATGAATTTTGCACGGCGACAGGAGTGTAACAAGTGTGGCGCACCTAAACCAGGAGATGGAGGATTTGGAGGTGGAGGTGAGTGCCTTTTTTCCTGACTTCAGTACTGGAGAAAGTTGTTTCAGAGCTTCCCTGCTATCTGTTTATATTCTGAAAAAAATTCTAATAAACTGACGGGACAAGAACGTAGTCCAAGTCACAAGTTTTAAATAAACTACACGGAGCATGTTTGTCCAGTGCACGTAGCTTTACCCAGTAATGTTTTACTAACATGGTTGCTGTGACTGTTTGCAGATCACGGGGGCAGAGGAAGTTATGGTGGCGACCGAGGCGGTGGCTTCAGAGGCCGTGGAGGGGGAGGGTTCCGTGGGGGAGACCGTGGCGGCTATGGAGGAGGTGGTGGAGGATTCAGAGGTGGCTTCAAGATGGGTGGAAGGTTGGCTATCTTTTATTTTTTCTTTACCATATGACACCTGTACTCTCTGGGTTGTTGCTGATGCAGTTGACTATATGACCAGAAGAGGGCATAGCCTGTCCAAGATGAGTCAGATTCTAAATGTTTAACTAAACTGTTATCAATTTCATACTGCATACTAAATGTACCAGTCTATATAGTGCACAGTTTTGCAGGCAGTATAAAAGAAATATGAATATCTGCAAATCTTACATTCTTAAAGTGTTTGATTCTGATTCTAAAACCTGGATTTAAGAGGTATAACATCTTGTATTTTCCCGTCTTAAACTTTTCCCATCTGTGATAAGTTGTTCCATTTCCTTGTTGCCTTTTTTCTGTTCATACCGACTGATTTGTCTATTTTGCCACCTTCTAATCTGAACACATTACATAGCAGCTTGAAAGTGGGTTTTCAGTTTGATCCTGGAGCTGCAGCTCTTTGAGAGGACCCATCCACCAATAGGCCAAAGAACCTCCAAGTCCTGGCTTATTAGAAAGCCACACTGTGAAGTGTCGAGTGTCCAGATATTCATGCTACAACCTCCACTTGACATTTTTGTCCCACTTGAGGATCTTAAGTATTTGATTTATATCTGCTCCTTGAAGGTAAAGGACTTTGGGGGGTTGTTGGAGGAAGGACAGTCTCCTTTACTGAAAGCAAATGATTTGTTTAAAGATTTAAAAGGCGAGGCAGGTACCCAGATGGCATATTTCCCCGTCATCCTCATTCTTCAGATGTTTAAAGGTTGATTCAGTGACAAATGTCTTTTGAAAATACAGCTGGTCACAAGCTGCCTTGTTGTTTCTCCTCAGAGGTGACCGCAGAGATGACAGAAGAGACCGGCCTTACTAAGCGTGGTGCGGATGGAAACCATTCCAGCCCTTGATGTCGCTGTGGAGAGAGGTTTTAGCGTGGGAAGGGGATAGATCAGGCACTCTGTGTACCTTTTTGTAGCCTGGGCATCCAAACTATTACAGTTGAGCTATGAGGGGAGGATGTGTGAGCTAATGTGAATGACTTTGGACTGATGGGCACTGCTGGTATGTGATCCGTTGTTTTTTTTGTTTTGTTTTTTGTTTAGTTCTTATTTTTCTTTAATTTCTTTGTACATCTTTATTTTCTTATTCTAGTTGCAGATGTTTTGTGAGGTAGACCGCACCATTTTTTATGAGCTGATGAAATGTTTTACTTGGCTTCTGTTTTTTTTTTCCAAAATGATATTAAAAACTGATTCTTTCTCCGTGCTTTGTGTCAGTTTATTGTCGTTATGTACTAAGCTAAAGATGACAAAAGACATCTGCATCTTGAAATCCGCCGTGTTCACTAGGGGAGCAGGCTGTGGCTCTGCTGGTGCTGAGCAGGCGGACCGGGAGGGGCGGTGCTGGCCCTCCCCACTGTAACACCGCCTGGTTCATTAAGCTTCGCCAGCCCTCCCAGGGATGGAGATGTTTGCGAGCAGCGGCATGCTCGCAGTTACTGACAGCGGAAAGTCGACAAAGAGAAGAACAGGGAGCGGGGTGGTGATACTCTCCTGGTTCCGCAATGAGGCACCGGACCGCGGCCGCCCGGTGTGGCGCTGCACGGGACCTGAGGGCAGCTTGGGTCCTGACTGTGACCGTCTGCTTCAACGCTCACGCTGCCGGCGGGTCACCGCTGGTCCCGGATCCCGAGGTACTCCTGTCAAATACAAACTGCCTTTAGGTGATTAAATGTCCGGTGTCGGATCAGTTTTATGTGCAACAGATTTCATGTTGTTGGGTTTTAGGGAGCTTGTGTTCGCCGCACAGCACCACAACATGCGTAATGGTACATTTTATTGCGCGTTAACCCACTTATTTAGTTTAGAGATATTGGTTGTGCGATTTCTCTTGGACACCCCAGAAAACATGTCTAACGGCGTTTAGCCGCCAACTTTACCTACCAAGTTTATAAAAGTGCCTTATAAACGCAATCTGTTAGTTGAACTTGATCACAAAAGATTTTCACAAGCGTATCCATTTGGTGTTGACAGATTTTACGCAGCACGTTTCCTCCTAAACACTAGGTGGTTTTACTTTGTTATTGGAGTCTAATTGCCCCAGTGATTCAGGCCTGGCCCGTAAAACAAATGTAGTGTTAATTTACATGTTTTGTCACGATGCGATATCCAGGCCGAGTTTGAGTCGGGAGGAGCGGCTGCGTCAACATTTCTCGGACATTAAATATGTTTTTGCTTTTATTAAAATGTAAATGGAAAATTGTTTATTTTGAAGTTTAATTTCTTTATATACATCAGCGGTCTGGAAATAGATAATTTCAACAAAACCAAAGGGTTAAAATAAGCATTATGTCCCAAACACTATGCACTTACTTAAAATAAAAATAAAGTTGAGTTGGAGAGAAATTTTTCTTACAGCTGTTTGTGAAACGTTTTATTTCAAAATCAGTCTAAAAGCTATCAGTCACTGAAGAGAAGTTATTACATACAAAGACTGTTTTGAGAACTGCTACATGTTTAGTTTAGCTTTACACCAACAGTGCCACTGACCTGTTGGAGACGAGGAGACCAGGCCCATGTTCAAAACAAACTACAACCCTATTTCTGTCTCAGGTTCCTTGGGGCGATGCCTTTATTGCCACACCTTCATTCCCTTACTGCACTGCCTTGGTTCAGTTTTACCTCACAGACTATTAACATGTGTTTCCACAGCTTTTCTCTTTCTCTCACATGAAATAAAACCTTCTGGCATTCCCAGTCCTAATGGGCACATTCCTATCATCTCTTCACTGGTTATTTCCATCCCATCATCACATCTGTAATCATAGCTGTGTTTGCTGTTGTCTGAACATGAAAATTCTTAACAGCTGTGATATTAAACTGTACACACAACTCAAACCACGGTACATCATCCTACAGTATTTTATAGCTGTTAATCTTTAATCTGTTTTAACTTCCTTGCTTACATTGATTTCTTGTGAAATAACTATGATAACTTTCTTGTATGGGTGGTCCAGATGTATACGTCCTTTTTTTTTGGCAGCCTACAGCAGCTACAGGGATTCACCAGAGTGTGTTAAATAAGTCTTTGTTCAAAATGTCACTTTACAAACTTTAAATAGATGATTTTTACAGAAGGGCAAGTGGAGTTTTCTGTTGGGTTAGAGTATTTGTGATGCAGTATTAATGAGTATGATTACAATTGCAGGTTTTTCTGGAAAAGTACGGCTACCTCCATCAGGACAACCACATCCACAATGCAGCTGAGGTGCAGTCGGCCGTCCGGTAGGTGACTTCGGTGATTAATGTAGAAATCACAGTGGTTCATCAAAAGTCATGAGGTGAATATGATTTCAGAACTACGTGAGGAATCAGAGTTAGCTGTGTTCATCCGGGGAAGTTTGGTGTCAGGCAAGCCTCAGGGAAGAGCATCAGTGCAGGGCAGTGAAACACACCCTCATCTCTGCAGTGGGAAACTTCTTTGAACCTCCTCCTGCCCTCTGGCCACATTCTGACTACACCATAGTGGAGTCCTCGACTGAGAGCTGTCTCCATGTCTGGCTCGCCAACATCTCACAGAGACAACGTGAAAACTTGCCATCTGACTAAATCTTGTACCTTAGGATTACACTGATGCCAACTATGTCAGGGGCAGAAGCTACAGTCACCGTGGCACAGCGGCTCAGGGCTTTGCCGGTTTGCAATACAAAGAGACTTCATATTGTTAAGTCAGGATTCTCGGACTCGGAAGGGAGCATCCGGGTGGTCTTACTTTCCTGTTGATTCACATATTGTTGGCATGCTTGAAAACCATATGTTTGTTCAGGAAGAGTGTCACACCATCATTTCCTGTCTCTACAGTGAGTTCCAGTGGTTGTCGCAACTTCCTGTCACAGGTGAACTTGACAGCACCACCTTGAGGCAGATGTTGGAGCCCCGCTGTGGGGTGTCAGATGAGGGCAGCCAGCAGATCTGGGCTCAGAGGGTGAATGCCATCTTCATGGGAAAGA